CAATACAAGTTTACCATATTTTGAAATAATGTGATATAATTGAAATTAGGATTGACCTTGATTGTGTCTCGTATTCAGCCCCTCAGATCCATAAGGAAAGCCCAGATTGTTTAAATATTGTCATCTGAATTCAAAATAACTTACAGATCCAGTATATATATGTGTGTGATAATTTCATAAAAATTCAATCACTGAGCTTGAAGTGTAAACAATATTGTACAGTAATTTCTGGTTTTGGTTGTTAGGTCTTTGATGTTCATTTGTTTGCATACACACATCTACATATTTATTGGTGCAAAAAGGTCATAGAAATTAAATATTCACTACCATGGCTGTGGTACATTGTAGTTAAGAATAGACTTCTAAACTGTGTCAGATGTTGATGTCTTTTTGTTTCTGTATGTGTTGATTTATGGAGATTAATGGTGATTTGTTAATAAAATAACATTAACTAAAATCAAATAAGTTGTCCTTTTCATCATGACAACAACATTGTTGGAGGAAGGATTTCAGTACAAATTTAGAATTTGATAGTGTACTGAGCTGAAGATTGAACGTAAAGTTATAACTTTGATGCTAGGTTGGAAACATTTCAGACCAAGATTCCACAAAAAAAAAAATTTACCAAAATGTACAAAAAAAATTATAGTCAAACAATTAAAAAGATATAAAAATTGTCAGTGACACTGCAGTGTAAGGTGCTATGTTTTAAAGGCGAGGAATTGACGGAGGAAAAAGTAATCTAGTTATACACTGCATGTCAAAAAATTGGAGATCTTCACTAAATACTACATAAAATTCAGTAGTTGTCATAATTTTTAGCATAGAATGATTTCTAAAGATGATCAGGTTCGTGTGTATGTTTTGAACCACCTGCCACTATTACAATGAATGTGACCAGCCTATTATAACAAATTACCATATTGACTGACTAATATCTGTATTACAAGTCGAGTACAATGAATGAGTAAGACCATTTACCAGATATCCTTCTCACTGTTTATATATTTGATAAATCCAATCTGAAATCTTGCATTGTATAAGCATTTCAACCCAATGGAGATCATTGATAATTTTACATACAACATGACTGTCCAGACATGTTTCAATTTTCCCCACCTCCCTCCTGGACTTTTGCGATCACTAATTCTAGTGTGGCCTGACTGTTACTCCCACATACAGTTAATTTGTTACATTCTGAAGAATCACTGAAAAGGTTTCCTTAAAACTTGGTATTTGAGTTCCTAGTTGTGCATACCTTTTTTCAACAATATCATATATTCAAGATAGCTGCACACTGCCATTTAAAATTTTTCACCTTTGAAGTTGTTACCACTATTTCCAAACAGCTAGCGATTGAAAAGTTCTTGAAACTTTTTTAAGGTGTTCATTATGTCATACTGTGAACATACATGGAGTGATTGTATTTTCAAGATGATAATCAGCAGTAACCATATTAGATTTTAAGAATTAAAGTTTGATTTAAATATTTTGTTGGCATTGTTGTCAAAAGAAGTAGTTGTACCAATTCTATAATGATACACCAAATATCTAAGTGATTAGAAATAAATAGATACAGGATCTTATGTGATTGATATATGAAACATGATGACAAGCTATAGAAAAGTTCTGACAAGATTTCTAAACCATATATCAATTGGAAACATATGTAAGATCATTTTATCACATGGCTGATTATATAGGTCGACAATGTGGAAGACGACCATTTGCAATTCAAACTTTAAGTCATTTTAGATGTATGGTCGACATTTATTTCTCAATGCTGTCTGTTAGTTCTAATGGTATCTCATTATCGAAACTTAATATCACAATACACAAATATGTCAGTATATTGACTGAATAATAGGGCAACCCTGTGATAAATCTGATGTGTACTTTATATCAATGCATGGTGTAATGATATTCAAATAAATGTTCATTGATACAACTGTGATACATCACAATATATCCATTTAAACACTCCTGGTATTACTCCGAAAGAAATAACTATTAACATATCTTTTAAGAAGTTGGTAGAAACTGCGCCCTCGTTATATAAATAACGAAATAGTTCTCCTGATCTAATCATCATTCTACTTATCTCAAATTACAGTTTAGAGCTTGGTTTTAAACTTTAAGGAAAGGAAGGTGTTTTTGTGTTTCATTTTGTTTCTCGTGAGCCACAGATTGTGAGATGATTATACTGTGAGTACACATATAAACGTACCATGGTACAACATGATGGTACAATACTTAAAGCAAGTTGTTTGGCTAGACTTTTTCATTAGGAGTAAGTTATGTGATATCTGTAATGTTTCCTCTATCTGTCAGATGTTTAGGGTCATTTTGTGACCCCCTGGGCTGGGTAATTTATGTTGAAAAAGCTTGTTTCCTGACCCCTAGACTAGATATTTTATGTTGAAAAAGCTTGTTTCCTGACCCCCAGACTGGGTATTTTATGTTGAAAAAGCTTGTTTTCTTACCCCCAGACTGGGTATTTTATGTTGAAAAAGCTTGTTTCCTGACCGCTAGACTGGGTATTTTATGTTAAAAAAAGCTTGTTTCCTGACCCCCAGACTGGGTATTTTATGTTAAAAAAAGCTTGTTTCCTGACCCCCAGACTGGGTATTTTATGTTAAAAAAAGCTTGTTTCCTGACCCCCAGACTGGGTATTTTATGTTAAAAAAAGCTTGTTTCCTGACCCCCAGACTGGGTATTTTATGTTAAAAAAAGCTTGTTTCCTGACCCCCAGACTGGGTATTTTATGTTAAAAAAAGCTTGTTTCCTGACCCCTAGACTGGGTATTTTATGTTAAAAAAAGCTTGTTTCCTGACCCCTAGACTGGGTATTTTATGTTAAAAAAGCTTGTTTCCTGACCCCCAGACTGGGTATTTTATGTTAAAAAAGCTTGTTTTCTGACCCCCAGACTGGGTATTTTATGTTGAAAAAGCTTGTTTCCTGACCCCCAGACTGGGTATTTTATGTTAAAAAAAGCTTGTTTCCTGACCCCCGGGCTGGGTATTTTATGTTGAAAAAGCTTGTTTCCTGACCCCCAGACTGGGTATTTTATGTTAAAAAAAGCTTGTTTTCTAACCCCCAGACTGGGTATTTTATGTTGAAAAAGCTTGTTTCCTGACCCCCAGACTGGGTATTTTATGTTGAAAAAGCTTGTTTCCTGACCCCCAGACTGGGTATTTTATGTTGAAAAAGCTTGTTTCCTGACCCCCAGACTGGGTATTTTATGTTGAAAAAGCTTGTTTCATGACCCCCAGACTGGGTATTTTATGTTAAAAAAAGCTTGTTTCCTGACCCCCAGACTGGGTATTTTATGTTAAAAAAGCTTGTTTCCTGACCCCCAGACTGGGTATTTTATGTTGAAAAAGCTTGTTTCCTGACCCCCAGACTGGGTATTTTATGTTGAAAAAGCTTGTTTCCTGACCCCCAGACTGGGTATTTTATGTTGAAAAAGCTTGTTTCCTGACCCCCAGACTGGGTATTTTATGTTGAAAAAGCTTGTTTCCTGACCCCTAGACTAGATATTTTATGTTGAAAAAGCTTGTTTCCTGACCCCCAGACTGGGTATTTTATGTTAAAAAAAGCTTGTTTCCTGACCCCCAGACTGGGTATTTTATGTTAAAAAAGCTTGTTTCCTGACCCCCAGACAGGGTATTTTATGTTAAAAAAAGCTTGTTTCCTGACCCCCAGACTGGGTATTTTATGTTAAAAAAAGCTTGTTTCCTGACCCCCAGACTGGGTATTTTATGTTAAAAAAAGCTTGTTTCCTGACCCCCAGACTGGGTATTTTATGTTAAAAAAGCTTGTTTCCTGACCCCCAGACTGGGTATTTTATGTTAAAAAAAGCTTGTTTCCTGACCCCCAGACTGGGTATTTTATGTTAAAAAAAGCTTGTTTCCTGACCCCCAGACTGGGTATTTTATGTTAAAAAAAGCTTGTTTCCTGACCCCCAGACTGGGTATTTTATGTTGAAAAAGCTTGTTTCCTGACCCCTAGACTGGGTATTTTATGTTAAAAAAAGCTTGTTTCCTGACCCCCAGACTGGGTATTTTATGTTGAAAAAGCTTGTTTCCTGACCCCTAGACTGGGTATTTTATGTTAAAAAAAGCTTGTTTCCTGACCCCCAGACTTGGTATTTTATGTTGAAAAAGCTTGTTTCCTGGTCTTTTGGCCAGGTATTTTACATTAATAAAAAGTGTGGTATTTGATGCTGAAAATCAACAGTCATTAAGATAAATGCACTGATATTTGTCGACAGTCATTCTGGCTATCACTCCCTGCACCTGTTCAACATTTCAAGGCAACATTTAAGGCAACAGCAAAGTTATTTGAGGGTCTAGAGTGTGTTCCAGTAATAAAAAACTTGTCTATTGGGATATTCATGGACTGATACACTCCTCGGAAGGTTACAAGGGAGAAAACCCCGACTTCATAGCCAGTACAACAACATACTGCGACTTTGAGATTAGTTTGATGTACTTTAAATGATGAAACCAATCTTCTCATTTCACCACAAGGTGTCACTCATGGAACTCTCAATTTTGCCATGATATTGTTCCAAGGGTGCAGGAGAAAGTGATCCTAACCCCTGTAGTACCCAGAATAGTTGGCAATGTCTGGTGATAATGCTGTCTATATGTTTGCTGTTCAACAGATTTAGCAACCTTCAATACTTTATTGGCCACCCTCGGGATTCCATGAAAAGTTGACCTTCCTAATGCTTACTGTAGGATGTATGGTACTTGTATATGTGATAACGTTTTCACAAAACATATAAAACATACATTCTATCAAATATGACCACTACTTTTTCCTACACAAACTTTTGTGATTTTTTGTTAATTTGCTTTTCATAAGTTGAATTTTTTTACCTCCTTGATTGAAAAAGAAGTGTGGTCTTAATTCTTCACCGTCACTTGTAAAAATCAATAATTATCATCTGTATACATTTATACTGACTAGTAAACCTTACACATCTTTTTCAGCAGAAGAGAGAACTTTTACTGCAATCAAAGCAGAGCCAGGTCAGGATGAAGGATATACACTAACTGCAGGTATTGGAAGAGAAGATCATGGATTTTCTCCATTGATGGGAGTCCAAATGCAGGACGATAGCTATTTTCCTATTGAGGCTGAGCAAATACAGAACAATCGGAACTCTTCAATGGATTGTGCCCAAAGTCAGAGCTATGACCTTACAGGGGCTGTCCAAGGTCGTGGACAGAGGCTAGTCATTGCACAGTCAGCACACAAATTTCATCAGCAGGATATTTGTAAAAGAGAATTTTTTGATCATATATCTCCTGAGGAATCTGTTAAGATAGGAACTAGGCTTGCCATATCTGAGGATGAAGATGTGGATACTTCACAGTCTCAAACCAAAGTTTACATAACTGAATCCAGGTCAGTGCCCTCAGATGGTGGTGTGGGATCTGCTGTAGGTTCTGATGGTATTGATGAAATGTCAGAGGATTTCCCAACAACTCTACAGAATGAACACCTGAGGGTTAAACTAGTTGATCTATATAACTGTAAACAGTGCAGCAGGAGTTTTAAGGATGAATCTGCATTTAAAAAACATTGTAAAAAGCATGTTTCTAAGACAGGATCTGTTTTTAAATCTGATACTAGAGGGAAAACGTTATGTAAGAATGGTCAACTGAACTCACAAAGTAAATCACAGGCTACAAAAAAGAAACTGAAACATGTAGAACAGTTAAGCTGTAGAAAGTGTGGCAAGAATTTCAAGTTTGAAAGTACTTATCAAGAACATATGACGAAAGAGCATGAAGGGGTGGATCCATTTTCATGCGACGTGTGCGAGAAAGGATTTCAGTCTCGTCATCAGTTGAAAAATCACATGACACTCCACACAGGCGAGTGTCCATATGTATGTTCTCTATGTGGTGTAGGTTTTCGTTTGAAAGTCTCTCTTGTGGACCACGAAACCGTATGTCATGAGCGATTGCCTCACACATGTACCGTGTGTGGGGAGAACTTTAATACAAAAGCATCCCTAAGTCGGCACCGTAAATCTCACAAGCAGACTGATGCTCGATTTCGTTGTGATAACTGCCGACGAGAATTCAAATTCGAAAAAACATACAAGAACCATCTTGCTACACTCCAGTGTGTTTCTGTGGATGAACATCCTCCATACACTTGTGATGTATGTGGGAAAGAAAAATTAACACTTCAACTTCTTAAGAAACATAAATACCTTCATTCAGAAGAACTTTGTGATTTCTGTGGTCGTCAGTTTAAATCCCAGGAAGGCCTTCGACGTCACATGTTGTTTCACACAGGTCGTTGGCCGTACAAGTGTGAAGAATGTGGACTTGGTCTTGCGACGAAAAAAGTGCTAAAAGTTCACCTGTTGAAGCATTCAAATGAAAAAAGTCACATGTGTGATGTGTGTGGATCTGCATACAAGACTAAATATTCTTTAGAGCGTCACATGTTCACACACCAGGAAATTAAACCCCATGTTTGTGATGTTTGTGGCAAAGGGTTTGTAGGGAAACATCAGCTCACCCACCACTTAAAGGCGCATGCCAAGGAGAAGCCGTTTAACTGTAATATATGTAGGAAGGGTTTTGATGATTCAGTTGCACTTCTCACACATACTATAGAACATGTGGGACAGAAGCTACACAAATGTGATATTTGTGGAAAGTTCTATAGTAGGGACTCTGCTCTAAAAGTTCACCTCAGGATTCACACAGGAGAAAAACCATATAAATGTGAAATATGTGGGAAAAACTTTACTAATTTGTGTGACAAACAACGTCATGTTAAGATCCACACTGGAGAGAAGCCATTTGTCTGTGATGTTTGTGGGAAGGGGTTCTCAGACAAAAAGTACCTCGCTCGACACCTCCGCTCTGGTGCACATAATAAAGACATTGTTCAGTTTAGAGATGCAGTATATAGTAAAAGCAGTACAGGTACTTTGTCTGATGAAGGACCTTCTGGCTCCACTCCTCTTTAGAGAAGTTGGTTACCGTCCATGTTTTAGGGGTAATCTAAAGAAACAGTACTAAAATATTGTGGCGTTAATCACAATTTCTGTCATCTACATAGCAATTCTTGTAAAAACATAATATGTTATTTCGTTTTTTTGTTGATAAGTGATATTCTGATGAAATCTGACTGCATGAAAATAGAAACATCATCTTCATGAAGGGTTATATACCTTATACAGTGGACTTTTTACAGCAGTGTCTCATTTTTGGTATTTTTGGTATAAGATTGTACATTTACATGATGTTATCGTAGTGTCTGCTGACACCGTTGGAAAATATCTCACGGATGAAATTAGTTAATCTGGTTTTACACCATTCGGAAATTTGTGTGACAAAATAAATGTGTTGTGTGGTTATTGGGTTGGTCTTAAGAAACATGTTAATGATACTGTATAGTTCTTTGGCTCATTTCGTTCTGTTTAAACTTCTTCACTTTGCAGATCGTGTGATAATTTACTGTGTGAAGTATGGCTGGTAGTTGTCATGGGCTAAAAATTTTTTTAATGATCCGATTGTATTCTGTGTGTTAAAATTTCACAATCTGGACTCATACATTTTACTTGATGGATTAAATTTTGAAACAGTTTTTATGAACTGTTAAAGAACAAAATAGCCACCCCATCAACTGGCTATACTGTATTTTGAAGCTTACCAATAATTTTGTTATTTTATTAAAAGAAAAATACTTTTTAACTCTTATTTGTCGAACCTCTGTATAATATTCAACAATACTCAACATGTTTTTAGTTATATACAACTCTTATTCAACAACCTCTTGCATATCTTCAGGTATCCAGACAGGTGGCCAAGGATTAGTATACAGTTTAATTGATGGTTAAGACCTTAAGTTAAAAACGAGATTTATATTGGTACCGAGGACAAATTTAACACCTGACAAAGATAAATATTTTGATGCAAGGGTAAAAATAGCATCAGGTGAGTGTTTCCATTTATACATAATGTATTAACTAACATGACAGATCAACTTTTGCTTGCCTATGAGCCCCTGTATTTTCCAGATCTGTCCAGGGAATTCCCAACCATTAATATGACCCCAGAAACAACCATAGCATCCCTCTCCTAGATACCAAATCAAAATTTAGGAATGAGGAAACAGGCTGAATCTCCCAGCTAGGGAGTAACATTGGTGTGAAGAAAACTTCACAGGCTCAAAGGGTCCAAAATCTTAAGAGATATTGCCCATTGGAATACATCTGCAGGCCTGTACATATGTCTCTGGGAAGTCATTACTTAACTTTCTGTGATACTAGGAACAAATACTATTTTCTTGTACAAGTAATTCTGTTTGTTACACATTTACAGGCTCAAAGGGTCCAAAATCTTAAGAGATATTGCCCATTGGAATACATCTGCAGGCCTGTACATATGTCTCTGGGAAGTCATTACTGAACTTTCTGTGATACTAGGAACAAATACTATTTTCTTGTACAATAATTCACAACACTTCAAATGAAATTGAATGAAGTTTAAGGATATTGCTTGTACCCTCCATATATATAGCTTTACAACATTTCAACATATCGTGTGTGAAAATGTGTAACAAACAGAATTACTTGATACCAGACATATATAACAGTTTATGAAACAAACAGACTTACTTGATACCAGACATATATAACAGTTTATGTAACAAACAGACTTACTTGATACCAGACATATATAACAGTTTATGTAACAAACAGACTTACTTGATACCAGACATATATAACAGTTTATGTAACAGACAGACTTACTTGATACCAGACATATATAACAGTTTATGTAACAAACAGACACTTGATACCAGACATATATAACAGTTTATGTAACAGACTTACTTGATACCAGACATCTATAACAGTTTATGTAACAGACTTACTTGATACCAGACATATATAACAGTTTATGTAACAGACTTACTTGATACCAGACATATATAACAGTTGATGTAACAAACAGACTTACTTGATACCAGACATATATAACAGTTTATGTAACAGACTTACTTGATACCAGACATATATAACAGTTAATGTAACAAACAGACACTTGATACCAGACATATATAACAGTTTATGTAACAAACAGACTTACTTGATACCAGACATATATAACAGTTTATGTAACAGACTTACTTGATACCAGACATATATAACAGTTTATGTAACAGACTTACTTGATACCAGACATATATGACAGTTTATGTAACAGACTTACTTGATACCAGACATATATAACAGTTTATGTAACAGACTTACTTGATACCAGACATATATAACAGTTGATGTAACAGACTTACTTGATACCAGACATATATAACAGTTTATGTAACAAACAGACTTACTTGATACCAGACATATATAACAGTTAATGTAACAAACAGACACTTGATACCAGACATATATAACAGTTTATGTAACAAACAGACTTACTTGATACCAGACATATATAACAGTTTATGTAACAGACTTACTTGATACCAGACATATATAACAGTTTATGTAACAGACTTACTTGATACCAGACATATATAACAGTTTATGTAACAGACTTACTTGATACCAGACATATATAACAGTTTATGTAACAAACAGACACTTGATACCAGACATATATAACAGTTCATGTAACAGACTTACTTGATACCAGACATATATGACAGTTTATGTAACAGACTTACTTGATACCAGACATATATGACAGTTTATGTAACAGACTTACTTGATACCAGACATATATAACAGTTTATGTAACAAACAGACTTACTTGATACCAGACATATATAACAGTTTATGTAACAAACAGACTTACTTGATACCAGACATATATAACAGTTTATGTAACAGACTTGATACCAGACATATATAACAGCTGATGTAACAGACTTGATACCAGACATATATAACAGTTTATGTAACAAACAGACTTACTTGATACCAGACATATATAACAGTTTATGTAACAGACTTTCTTGATACCAGACATATATAACAGTTAATGTAACAAACAGACTTACTTGATACCAGACATATATAACAGTTGATGTAACAGACTTGATACCAGACATATATAACAGTTTATGTAACAGACTTACTTGATACCAGACATATATAACAGTTAATGTAACAAACAGACTTACTTGATACCAGACATATATAACAGTTTATGTAACAAACAGACTTACTTGATACCAGACATATATAACAGTTTATGTAACAGACTTGACACCAGACATATATAACAGTTTATGTAACAGACTTACTTGATACCAGACATATATAACAGTTTATGTAACAGACCTACTTGATACCAGACATATATAACAGTTGATGTAACAGACTTTCTTGATACCAGACATATATAACAGTTTATGTAACAGACTTGATACCAGACATATATAACAGTTAATGTAACAAACAGACTTACTTGATACCAGACATATATAACAGTTGATGTAACAGACTTGATACCAGACATATATAACAGTTTATGTAACAGACTTGACACCAGACATATATAACAGTTTATGTAACAGACTTACTTGATACCAGACATATATAACAGTTTATGTAACAGACTTACTTGATACCAGACATATATAACAGTTTATGTAACAGACTTGACACCAGACATATATAACAGTTTATGTAACAGACTTACTTGATACCAGACATATATAACAGTTTATGTAACAGACTTACTTGATACCAGACATATATAACAGTTGATGTAACAGACTTGATACCAGACATATATAACAGTTTATGTAACAGACTTACTTGATACCAGACATATATAACAGTTGATGTAACAGACTTACTTGATACCAGACATATATAACAGTTTATGTAACAAACAGACTTACTTGATACCAGACATATATAACAGTTTATGTAACAGACTTGATACCAGACATATATAACAGTTTATGTAACAGACTTACTTGATACCAGACATATATGACAGTTCATGTAACAGACTTACTTGATACCAGACATATATGACAGTTTATGTAACAGACTTACTTGATACCAGACATATATAACAGTTTATGTAACAGACTTACTTGATACCAGACATATATAACAGTTTATGTAACAGACTTACTTGATACCAGACATATATAACAGTTTATGTAACAGACTTACTTGATACCAGACGTATATAACAGTTTATGTAACAGACTTACTTGATACCAGACATATATAACAGTTTATGTAACAGACTTACTTGATACCAGACATATATAACAGTTTATGTAACAGACTTACTTGATACCAGACATATATAACAGTTTATGTAACAGACTTACTTGATACCAGACATATATAACAGTTTATGTAACAGACTTACTTGATACCAGACATATATAACAGTTTATGTAACAGACTTACTTGATACCAGGTACTAGCCTGTGATGGTATGTAGATGATATCATTGTTATTGGCCAAAGTGAAGAAAGATGTTGAATTTAGAAGTGATTTAAAAACTAAATTGCAGAAAGGTAGTCATATTGGATTTTGACAGTTTTTTATGGGTGCTTTTTAAGAAGTGGAGGTTCTTTCTCCAGTTTCTCAGGAAGGTACTCCTGAGTCCCTAGATGTGTCATTGATATTATTATCAGCAATACAAATTGGCTAAGAGGCAGCCACATCTGATTTTGACAAAGAAAATTTATTATCACTATTTTTGGAAGACATAATGGAAAATAGATGTTTCTAAATACAGGGTACTTTGTTCAGTGTTTGCTGAGTTTAGAACTCAATCCTCTCGAAAACTCAGCAAAAGTTATGTTCGACAGATATCAATCATCGATGGTTGAGAATCTCCTATCTACCCCTAAATGGGATAAATGATTACATTTCTCTGTTTTCTGAATGTAAGACAAAGCGTATGGTGTGTAAACAAACACACATGGATGGTGTATGAACAGTGGTGATTCTGGCGCTGTAGACGTTTTTATGTGATTTAATCTTACACAATATAATTCTAGTGTACATCCCAATAAAACATTAATCCACACATCTACTGGTCTTAAACTTCCATGTAGTACCTGAGGGATTAAAAACAAGTATTGTGATCCATATCACATAGAGGATCACGATTCTAGCTCGTTGCCAAGATCATTTACTTAACAACCAGATATTCCTGCTTTCAGACACCTGGTTTTACTCTGGCTGACAGTAGCTTCCTTGTGGAAATGTGGTTATTATATTCCGGATTCTGAATATATTTATGAATTGTACAAATAATTTTAAATTACTTTTGATTGCTTTCAGTTACAGATGGATCACTTTTCGCACACTCAGAAAGTCTGTCTGTCAATCCTAGTATCTGTGCTATTGCTGCTACCCCTGGAACCGTGTCAAAGTTTACTACCTTGTTTAAGGCAGAGGATCACCCTATATACCAACCCAGTAGTCAAACGGATCCCGCGGATCAACAATTTCATGATATCGACAATAAAATATCGGATATGCATGAAAACCTGATTAAACAAACAAGAAAAAAATTATTTGCATGTAGTATTTGTGGAAAAGGCTACAGACGTGAAGAAAATTTAGCAAGTCACTTTCGTGTTCATTCAGGCGAAAAACCTCATCAATGTGAAGAATGTGATGAGGCCTTCAGCCTCAAGTCAACGTTAGTTACTCACCGTAAAAAACATGTAGGCGAGAAGTCACATAAATGTGATACATGTGGCCTCGAATTCGATCTGACGATTGAGCTAAAGCGACATCAAAGTACCCACAGAGGAGACAAACCACACATCTGTGACTTCTGTGGTAAGGGCTTCCGTGTGATAAGTAACTTACGGGCGCACTTACGGACACATACTGGCGAAAAACCACATAAATGTGATATCTGTGGAAAGGGATTTAACGAAACTGGTAATCTTCGGCAACATTTGATGACACACCAAAACGCCGGTGAGAAGTCGTTTATATGTGATGTGTGTGGTAAGGGTTTCGATCAGCCGTCGTATCTAGGGAAGCATCTTCGAATTCATTCCGGAGAGAAAGAATTTAAATGTGAGGTGTGTGGTAAAGCCTTTAACAAAAAATATAACCTTCAAACTCACAACAAAACTCATACAGGAGAGAAACCCCACAAATGTAACATATGTGGAAAGGGGTTTGGTCTAGCTGCCAGTATGAGACGCCATCTTCTTATGCACACTGGAGAAAAACCGCACATGTGTTTTATTTGCGGGAAAAGTTATCAACAAAAAGAGAGTCTTCAGCAACATCATAAAAAAGTTCACAATTCATAATCTCATTATATACTGATAATTGGTTAGATATCTGCGATGATCACATGCTTACTGAAACCTACCGAATCAGACATTGTCACCCTACACCCTACTTTTTATCAGTAAACATTTCAGTATTTTAGATGTCCATAATTTAATCGTTTGCTATTTCAAAGACACAACGACTTTAATAATCGCATTGATTGGTTTAGTTGAAAGTTAGATTGCTTTTATCCATAATGGTGTTGTCACAACACAACTTTTACATGACCAAACACTCATGCTGAATAGAATAGAAAGGGCCGTTACTAAAGTCCCCAAACTTTCACGGCTGCCGAAAAAAAAATTACTGCACAGCTAAATTATCTACACTAGTGCATGCTACCTGAATGTTAGCCCTTATACACGTATTTACACTGGAGAGATTGTCATGCATGACTCGGGTAAAGCATGGCCTGTAAGCAGTAGTGTAACGCCTATAAAGTAGTTATCAACTTTGACAAGAAGGAAAGAAAGGGCTTAGGAATACACCATTGACAATATTGAAGTTTCAAAGTTTTAACGTTTTCTGTGGCAATGTTTAATGTTCAATTAAAAAAAAAAATCTTATAACATTGAATACCTCATAGTGGAACACACTTAAGTAGTAACTTTCGTAAAACGCGGACTTTCATATTTCAGTGACTGCAGGGGCCATGTTGGATATGGAGAAATATCTCAAGCATATCTTTATATGGTTATCGATATTCACTCCAGGTCTTATATTATTTATAACACGTTATCTCTAAGCCTATCAGAAGCTTAAACTGCCATAATTGACGTCAAGTCGAAAAAAAAGAAAAGGATAACTCTGCATAATCATTTATGCTCATGTTCAAGTGGAAGAATAAAGACAGATAAGCCTAAGATTACACTATATATTATATAACATGTATCTGAAAACACCTTTACAAAGAGGATATGATTACATGGGAACACTGTAAAAACCTTTACTTGTTGAAATATACGTCATTTAAATTCCTGTTCAAGCTATCTGGAGTTATAACCCGTTAACGGATGTTAAATAAACAATCCATTTAATGATTAAATTATGGCAAATTATGAAGAGAAGAAAAAAAATTAAAAAGAGACTCCTGAAAATGGAGAAGGAGAATCAGTCCGGGTGTACTGGACGAGGAAGGGTCTGCTTCATCGGCTACAGCCGTCATAAAAATATTGTTCAGTCCAAGTAAGTAATGTCAGGAGAACAGGGTTTACAACAATAGAACCAACAGACAAACTAGCATTAAAGAAATAGCATATTCCTTGGAAGGAGGTCACGTACAAACAATAACACAACTTTACGTCCCAGTAGCCAGATTTTGACTTACGTTGATGTTTACTTTTCAATAATTCCCTGAAAAGTCTCAATTATGCTGAAAGAGTGAATACAAAAATTGAAACCTGATGAAAACAGTGAATAAGATATAGAAACATGCTGAAGGAGTGAATCAGAAATAGAAAAACGCTGAAAGAGTGAATCAGAAATACAAACATAGTGAAGGAGTGAATCAGAAATAGAGACATGCTGAAGGAGTGAATCAGAAATAGAAACATGCTGAAGGAGTGAATCAGAAATAGAAATATGCTGAAGGAGTGAATCAGAAATAGAAACACGCTGAAGGAGTGAATCAGAAATAGAAACATGCTGAAGGAGTGAATCAGAAATAGAAACATGCTGAAGGAGTGAATCAGAAATAGAAACACGCTGAAGGAGTGAATCAGAAATACAAACACGCTGAAGGAGTGAATCAGAAATAGAAACATGCTGAAGGAGTGAATCAGAAATAGAAACATGCTGAAGGAGTGAATCAGAAATAGAAACATGCTGAAGGAGTGAATCAGAAATAGAAACATGCTGAAGGAGTGAATCAAAAATAGAAACATACTGAAGGTGTGAATCAGAAATAGAAACACGCTGAAGGAGTGAATCAGAAATAGAAACATGCTGAAGGAGAGAATCAGAAATAGAAACATGCTGAAGGAGTGAATCAGAAATAGAAACATGCTGAAGGAGTGAATCAGAAATACAAACACGCTGAAGGAGTGAATCAGAAATAGAAACATGCTGAAGGAGTGAATCAGAAATAGAAACATGCTGAAGGAGTGAATCAGAAATAGAAACATGCTGAAGGAGTGAATCAGAAATAGAAACATGCTGAAGGAGTGAATCAGAAATAGAAACATGCTGAAGGAGTGAATCAGAAATAGAAACATGCTGAAGGAGTGAATCAGAAATAGAAACATGCTGAAGGAGTGAATCAGAAATAGAAACATGCTGAAGGAGTGAATCAGAAATAGAAACACGCTGAAGGAGTGAATCAGAAATAGAAACATGCTAAAAGAGTGAATCAAAAATAGAAACAGCTGAAAGAGTGAATCAAAAATAGACACCTGCTGAAGGAGTGAATCAGAAATAGACACCTGCTGAAGGAGTGAATCAGAAATAGAAACATGCTGAAGGAGTGAATCAGAAATAGAAACATGCTGAAGGAGTGAATCAGAAATAGAAACATGCTAAAAGAGTGAATCATAAATAGAAACATGCTAAAAGAGTGAATCAGAAATAGAAATACGCTGGAAGAGTGAATCAGAAATACAAACACGCTGAAGGAGTGAATCAGAAATAGAAACACGCTGAAGGAGTGAATCAGAAATAGAGACATGCTGAAAGAGTGAATCAGAAATAGAAACATGCTTAAAGAGTGAATCAGAAATAGAAACACGCTGAAAGAGTGAATCAGACACAGAAACATGCTGAAGGAGTGAATCAGAAATAGGGACATGCTGAAAGAGTGAATCAGATACAGAAACATGCTGAAAGAGTGAATCAGAAATAGAAACATGCTGAAGGAGTGAATCAGAAATAGAAACATGCTGAAGGAGTGAATCAGATAATCAGAAACATGCTAGAAGCTTAAAGAGTGAATCAGATACAAACACGCTGAAGGAGTGAATCAGAAATAGAAACATGCTGAAGGAGTGAATCAGAAATAGAAACATGCTGAAGGAGTGAATCAGAAATAGAAACATGCTGAAGGAGTGAATCAGAAATAGAGACATGCTGAAGGAGTGAATCAGATACAGAAACATGCTGAAGGAGTGAATCAGAAATAGACACCTGCTGAAGGACTGAATCAGAAATAGACACCTGCTGAAGGAATGAATCAGAAATAGAGACAGGCTGAAGGAGTGAATCAGAAATAGAAACATGCTGGAAGAGTGAATCAAAAATAGAAACACGCTGAAAGATTGAATCAGAAATAGAGACATGCTGAAGGAGTGAATTAGAAATAGAAACATGCTGAAGGAGTGAATCAGATATAGAAACATGCTGAAGGAGTGAATCAGATACAGAAACACGCTGAAGGAGTGAATCAGAAATAGACACCTGCTGAAGGAGTGAATCAGAAATAGAAACATGCTGAAGGAGTGAATCAGAAATAGAGACATGCTGAAGGAGTGAATCAGAAATAGAAACATGCTGAAGGAGTGAATCAGAAATAGAAACATGTTGAAGGAGTGAATCAGATACAGAAACATGCTGAAGGAGTGAATCAGATACAGAAACATGCTGAAGGAGTGGATCAGATACAGAAACATGCTGAAAGAGTGAATCAGATACAGAAACATGCTGAAGGAGTGAAACAAATACAGAAACATGCTGAAGGAGTGAATCAGAAATAGAAACATGCTGAAGGAGTGAATCAGAAATAGAAACATGTTGAAGGAGTGAATCAGAAATAGAAACATGCTGAAGGAGTGAATCAGAAATAGAAACATGCCGAAGGAGTGAATCAGAAATAGAAACATGTTGAAGGAGTGAATCAGAAATAGACACCTGCTGAAGGAGTGAATCAGAAATAGACACCTGCTGAAGGACTGAATCAGAAATAGAAACATGCTGAAAGAGTGAATCAGAATAGAAATATGCTGAAAGTGTGAATCAGATACAGAAACATGCTGAAGGAGTGAATCAGAAATAGAAACATGCTGAAGGAGTGAATCAGAAATAGAAACATGCTGAAGGAGTGGATCAGATACAGAAACATGCTGAAGGAGTGAATCAGATACAGAAACATGCTGAAGGAGTGAATCAGAAATAGAAACATGCTGAAGGAGTGAATCAGAAATAGAAACATGCTGAAGGAGTGAATCAGATACAGAAACATGCTGAAGGAGTGAATCAGAATAGAAATATGCTGAAAGTGTGAATCAGATACAGAAACATGCTGAAGGAGTGAATCAGAAATAGAAACATGCCGAAGGAGTGAATCAGAAATAGAAACATGCTGAAGGAGTGAATCAGAAATAGAAACATGCTGAAGGAGTGAATCAGAAATAGAAACATGCTGAAGGAGTGAATCAGATACAGAAACATGCTGAAAGAGTGAATCAGAAATAGAAACATGCTGAAGGAGTGAATCAGAAATAGAAACATGCTGAAGGAGTGAATCAGAAATAGAAACATGCTGAAGGAGTGAATCAGAATAGAAATATGCTGAAAGTGTGAATCAGATACAGAAACATGCTGAAGGAGTGAATCAGAAATAGAAACATGCTGAAGGAGTGAATCAGAAATAGAAACATGCTGAAGGAGTGAATCAGAAATAGAAACATGCTGAAGGAGTGAATCAGAAATAGAAACATGCTGAAGGAGTGAATCAGATACAGAAACATGCTGAAAGAGTGAATCAGAATAGAAACATGCTATTCCCATCTGTCGGGGTTTGTTCACTGGGAACACAACCTTCAACTCCACCGCGAATTTCCATTTTCATGGCAGTCAGCAGACGATGCAAGTCAGTAACTCTAACTATGTTATCAGTGGTCAAACCCATCCCCGTTCAGAGAGTCTTGAGTGTTGACCAAGGCATTTTAAAAGAATCCTTGTCATTGATAGTGACCGCCACTAGGATGGCGGTATACTTTTTCATGCGCAGAAGAATTGATCAAATATTGTTTTTATTTTTTCAGTTAACGTTTAAACCATTTTATTGTGTATAAGTGACATGAATAAATTACAAAATCCATGTCCAAACACAAATAAACATTCATTATGATTTATTTATGAGTCTGTATATTTTTACTGATTTTTCATAAAATGGACTATTTTTTTGCTGCGCACAACATCGTTGTAT